GTGTGTGCTCTGATCAGTGTTCCAGCTCTATTATATACACACGTGCTAATGTGCCTGCATATGTCCCAGTCTTACAGAATGCTTTTCTTAGGAAGTCAGCTAATGTCTTAGCAGAGATCTGTTTAAATCTAAATGCACACCCTTCTTCTCCTCTTAAACAAAACAATCAGTAATTGGAAAGAAACTAACAGATATGTAAGATAGATGTTATAAGCAATAGGCTAGCATTAATATGCCCCTTTATATATTTCTGCTTGGTAAAGTAAGCATAAGGTGTTTAAGAAGATGTATATGTATATATGATATTCACACAGTTTTTGGCATTCTGGAGGTGAACCTAGGGGCCTTGTGCATGCCAGCCAAGTGCTCTACCACTGAGCAGAGTTGTAAGCCCTACCAAATATGTGTACCCATCGTTTTTATGAACATGTATGGGTAGATCAGAATGCATTTATGAGACACTTGAGAGTCCCTGCTGACAAACAGCTTCTGGTGGTCATCATACTATGTATCCAAATGTGTATACCTTTGCATACTATATAAAATCACTTTTTTTGGATTTGAGAAAATCAGCTTTTCTTAATTTTTTTGTTGTTGTTGATTTTATTTAGATAGTTTTAGGAGCCAATATGAAAAGTACCTCGGTGCTATACAAAGTAAATACTTTATGGAGTGATAGTGAAAATTGGACGTACCACTCAGTACATTTTATAAATTTGAATATACTTTTATTAAAACTGCTTAATCAGAGTGCTGGCATAATAAAGTATATAATATTTTTCACTTTGGTGTTTATTTATCTCCAAGAAGAATTTAATTTTGTTATGTTCTAGAGAGCTTTATTTTGAACTAATATTTAACTCTTTTAATAGGCATCTTTTCCCTCTCAGGAAGAATTACAAACAGTGTAAGTAATGCATTGACTCAAAGTTTGGTGTGTTGTAAGTTAAGTGCTGATTACCCTCAGACGGGAATTTACTGTAATTTCGAATGGTGCTCTAAATTGAGTAGTTGTCAGTGAATGCTCTGGACTGCAGGCCAGTGAGCAGTAGTGCTTTTGCTGACTGCAGCACCTCTTGAGGCACGTCTCTCCCTTCCATCCTTTGGTTGAGGGAGATGTTTGGGCTTTTCTTTCTTACTCCTGTCTTCTGTAGTCGTCAGAGAACTCAGATGGGGAGGTTGGGGGTGGAGCTGCACGGTGGAGCTTTTCCTCAGTTAGCACAGCCTCAGCTCCACTGCTTGCTCTTGCTCGGGTCCCACTCTGGGCCCGTGGTGCAGACTTTGGTTTGACTACTGCATTTTTATGAAACTTAGGGTTGTTACAGTTCTCTTTGATTTTTTTTTTTTTTTTGTTGTTGTTGTTGTTGGCCTTTGATTTCTCTAAGAGGCTACTAAATGAGAGTCATTTCTGCTTACAGTATGTTTCGAAATGCTAAATGCCAACCATATTACATCTGTCAGTACACAAGAGTCTAAATGTTCTCCCATCCTGGCCTATTTGTGAAGCTGGCCATTTAGTAGGCTCAGGTTGTTAGTTGTTTTAACTGAGTCCTGAGGTCAGCTGTATGAAGGAAAGAGTCTGCAGACGTTTTCTGTAATGAGCTGACAGTACTTTAAGCCTCAGGGATCATAGCAGTCCAAGTTTCCTATTGTTACTCTGTTTTGTGTACATAGGGTTTTGTTTTGTTTTTCGAGACAGGGTTTCTCTGTGTAGCTTTGTGCCTTTCCTGGAACTCGCTTTGTAGCCCAGGCTGGCCTCGAACTCACGGAGATCCGCCTGCCTCTGCCTCCCGAGTGCTGGGATGAAAGGCGTGCGCCACCACCGCCCGGCCGTAGGTTTTATTTTATTGTTTGTATGTGTGTTTTCCTGCCTTTCTGTGTGTGCTCGTGTGCACACAGTGCCCATCGAGGTCAGAGGAGGATACTGGATTTCCTGAACCTGGAGTTGAAAGTGGTGGTGAGTGTCCAGATGTGGGTGCTGGGACTGGAGCAGCTGTGTCCACGGCAAGAGGAGCAGTGCTCTGAACCACTGAGGAGCACTCCAGCCCCTAGGGGTTTTTTGTTTGTTTGTTTTGGTTTTTTTCAAGACAGGGTTTCTCTGTGTAGTTTTGGTGCCTGTCCTGGATCTCACTCTGTAGCCCAGGCTGGCCTCGAACTCATAGAGATCTGCCTGGCTCTGCCTCCCGAGTGCTGGGATTAAAGGCGTGCGCCACCACCGCCTGGCTCCTATTTTAGTTTTTTAAACATTTAAAACTGTGGAAGCAGGACACTGGCACAGTGGTGCACACCCGTAATCCCAGTTATTTGGCATGAGGAGGCAGGTGGATGACCTGAGCAGTGATTGTTGGACCAACCTTGGCAACATAGATTCTGTCTCATAGCAACTCCTCCTCTGAAAAAAAAAAAAAACACCCCCAAAGTGAAACTAAAAGTATTAATGACTGTGTTAATCAGACTGTGATTGACCGAGATGCTTGGCAGCCCACTGTCCTCAGCTCTACTGACCCTGGGCTGTAACGGGGAGAACAGAGGATTAGGAACCCCACCCCAGAGGATCTGGACTGGAACAAGATACTTCTCAGTGATCATTGCTAGTGATACACTTTCTCCATAGGGGTCCTAGCAGACCCTTTCAAAACAGCAGCACCATGTGGGGCCAGACTCCCATCACATGAGTCTTTTTGAGAAGACTTCATGTTGTATAGCCAACAGTTTTTAAGCTCAAGGACCAGATTGGTTGTTGGGCAGCCCTTTAGTCTTAAGAAAGCTGTTTGTGATGGGACATTCTGCTCAAGTATAACACAAATGAATTCTGAAAATTTGCCTTTCTTTGCTTTCTGCATTTCTGGAAAACAACTAAGACATTGGACAGGACCAGGAGAAAATCGAACAAAAATCAAAACCATGAATCCTAAGATTGGGTAAAAATAACAATAGACTACCAGGTTACTTTAATATAATGTTGTTGGTTTAATGAGCCAATTAGTCATAACTGATTTCATTGCCTTAAAATAAAACACTTTTAAAGACTGCCTTTGTATCAAACTCACCCCCAAGCCCCATTTAGACAGTTACATAACTTAGGCTGGCCTTCAGCTCACTGTATAGTGAGGGTGACCTTGAACTTCCACTCTTCGTGGCTCCACTATGCAAGTGTTAGTATTGTGAGCTGTGCAGTCAGTCACACATGGGACTCATAGGCTGGGAATTGAAACCAGGGTTTTGTGCATCTTAGGTGCAAGCACTCTACCGACTGGGGAGGTACAGCTCTTGCCCCAGAAATCACTTTTGAAATCAAGAATTCATAGGACAGGTTCTTTATGCTAAACAGTAGTTGATCTAGTGTTACATTTTCACAGGTTCACCTGTTTTTATTTTGTATTAAAAATATTGAAATGTAGGTATCTGGATGGTATTACTGTTTATCTAATATGTAAGTTATAGTATTGTTTATTTTAGATGCTGTTTACCTAAAATATATTCACATTCTGATTTAGAATTTCAGAAAAAGAAAAAGAATTAACTAATCTTCGCAATGAATTAGATTCTTTGAAGAATGCTGTTGAACATCAGAGGAAGAAAAACAATGTAAGCCACTATTCATGAAAAACAGACTTTTCCATTGTAGAGCATTAGAGTTGAAACATGGGCAGGGATTGTGTGTGTGTGTGTGTGTGTGTGTGTGTGTGTGTCTATTTTTGCTTTAGAATTTTTGATCTTTGTGTGGGAGCACTTTTGATTTCTTCCTGTCTTTGAGGATGTTACTAGAGTCATCATTTTATTGGAAAGCAGTTTTAATAGTAAAAAGATGAATTTTTATACCAAAAAATACTGGTATTGAGCTATTTCAAAAAAAGCTTTAAAAAAAACCCAAAAATATGATTGACTTTGTGTTAAAACTTTGGTTTAGAAAAATAAGCCTTTCAGACTTGTTATTTTAAAAACAAAGGCATTTCCTTTTATTTAAACAGGGCTAAGTTTTTGTTATTTTTGTGTTCCTTTTTTTCTGATATACTAAAAGACATATCAGTTTCAATCTTTGTAATTAAGCTTGCAAAACCTTCTGTAACTCTGCTTTTTTCAAATGAGAGACAGTAAAAAATATTGGTAATTAAATTTGCTAGTGGTCTTCGAACTTGAATATATTTGCTAAAATGGAAATGATTAGTTCTTTAAGAATTCTAAATCCTAGTGCTTTTACCTAGCAAATAGTAGATGCAGTTGAATTTCATAAATTCTCTCTTACTAAAAGGTAGTAACTAGTAGTCTTAAGTATTCTTGCTAGAAGATGTTTTTTTCACACAAAAGTGTGCTTGCTAATTATGAGCAAGATCAAAATGTTATTAAGTGATAGGAGAATATTGATAATAAATAGATGTGTATTTTTCAATGTAAGATAAATCTTTGAAAGTTTGTGTTAAATTGCTAACTAACAAGTTGGCATTTTCTTATACCCTGAGTTTGTCAAAATTAGGTATGTGAACTGCTCTTTGTGTGTTACGTAATGTTAATTACTAACAGCATTACTTAGCCACCAAATTTGGCATGAGTGTTTCAATATATTTCTAACATTGTAACTGTGTTTTATTCCTGGGATTCTGAGATAAGGAAGGCACAATAGTGGAGTTTAATTCATTCACCATAGCAGCAGCAGCAGCAGCAGCAGCAGCAGCAGCAGCAGCAGCAGCAGCAGCAGCAGCAGCTCTGCAGGTCTTGATTTCAAGCCTGGGAAAAGCCAGGGCAGTGGAGGCAGCAGGGTGCAGCGTCAGCCCAGTCCAGCTCTGCCACTCATTTGTTCCACACATTTTGCCAGATTTCTTAACTTTCAGCTGTGGTTTCCCATCTATAAAGTGGGAATAAAAGATCATAAATTGTTGTAAGGATTAATGAGAATTTGTGGAATGCTAAATACAGTATTTGGCATGTAAACTTGCAATAAATGGTAATTATTGGCTTTTAGGGTTTTTTTTATGTTTATTCCTGATTCTGAAGATGAAATATAGCATATTGTTTTTATATGTATTTGGTAAGGAATTGCTTTCTTTTAGAGCTTGCTTTGAAATGGCCTCTGTTTCTCCTTAGTGAAAAGTGTTTTATCATTTCTCTGCTTTATTTGCTTCAGTCAACTGGCTAGCACAGTTGTGTCTGATTGCTTGTGGTATCCATTTCAACCATGTTAAGATACAGAACACAGAGGGTTACTTTGTTTGCCTTTCCTAGGAAGAGTGGAAATGTACTGATTTTTTTTTTTTAATTTTCTGGAGCTGAGGACCGAACCCAGGGCCTTGTGCTTGCTAGGCAAGCACTCTACCACTAAGCTAAATCCTCAACCCTGGAAATGTACTAATTTTATTTAAAATAGGATTAGAGAAAAAAAAATGTTATGCGGCAGTATAAAGTCCCGGGAGGGTGATGTTGGGCAATCTTTTACAATCACAGAGAACCGTTTTTGCAGTACTGTGCATTTGCTGTTCTCAGCTCTAATGATGAACTTGAAGTCCTAACTGTAATTCCGGTTGGCATGTTTACCTTCGAATGCTTTCCTCTTTGTCACATTTGTACAGTTGATTGTCTGTAAAAACTGGCATATTTGGTGTGCGTACTAAAACGTGAGAAGTGGGCATCTTTATTTCCTCATTCAAACTTCTAAACATTACCTTTTTTGGCTAATATACACATTTTCCCACTGAAATAATTTTGCAGTAACCAGCATTTAAATGCAGTGCAAAATATTGATGAAGTTAAAGGAGAAATCTTTTAATAATGGATAAACTGAAATCATTCTTTCTAAAAATGATTAGGACCTTCGGGAGAAAAACTGGGAAGCAATGGAGGCATTGGCATCAACTGAAAAAATGCTGCAGGACAAAGTGAACAAGACTTCCAAGGTTGTAATTAACTCCAGAAACACCGTGCACAGAGAGTCAGCAGCTTGTCAGATCAGACTAAAGCATTTCCTGTCACTGCAGTTTAAATATAGTGTCTCTTTGTCACCCCCATTTATCTTCTCCATCATCTCTGCTTCTTCATCTGTCTGCTCCTGGAGACTTTTGGGCACTCTGATCTGTTGGGATGACCTTGTTGGTGGTGTTTTGGTGAGCACAGCTGTAGGTGGGAGAGGCTCAGACTTAACACTGTGTGTTCAGGTCTCTCCTTGTCAGATGGTGTGGGCCAATGGCATAGTTAAGAGAACTTCGATGAAGTCTCTAAATCAGAGAAATCAATGTGAATTAATGGAACAGGTTTGAAAACCTAGCATGTATCTGTGATGCATAGTAAAGTGGGGTTTCTAGAGCATACCAGGAGGATTCAGACAAGGTAGGAAAACAGCAAAATCTTAAATAGTACAGAAAAAGTTTCAGTTCAAAGTTTGCTACTGGGGATGATTCCTTAGAAGAGAGAGACTTAAACGTTCTATTTTGAAGTGGCTGGACAGTTGCGGCACACGTGTCCTGTGAAGTATGTAATATTAGTATGAATGGAGAATTCTCTTGATGAGTATATAAAATACTTCTGACAAATATGTTCCCTTTATCTTCAAAACAACAAAGGGCATTCTTCTTTAGCCTGTCTGTCCACTAGGGGAAAGGGTCAGAGTGGAGGTGTAAACTAGATAGTGGGACAACTGAGCATGAATGCAACAGGAATATTGGTTTTTGAAGCCAGATTAATGAATGCCCCATATGATTAATTCCACATTCTGAAAGTGTTTGTGTGCCAAAGTAATCTATTGCATTTTAATTAGTCTTAAGGACATTGGAAACAGTTTTTTAGTAGATACAATTTTAAGATTTGCTAATATCATGTGTACAGTTATATTTCCTTTAGTGCAGTAGATTTATACTTACTGCAGTACTTAACCTGGTAAAAATTTTCATTAAGTTGAGACAGTTGGCAGCTATTACTGCCAGAGGGATTTCAGCCAGAGACTGAGGCTCTAGCCACACAGGCAGTGTTTAATTGTGAAGGGTTCCTGTTGTGAGTCACCTGTCACAAAGGAGGCTTCTAGTGTGGGCTTTGGACTATTGAGAACTAAAGTGTTCTTCTAACCTTTCCTGTACAAGGCATTGTGTGTCCTCTAATGGACAAAGGGAGCTCCAGTATGTGCATGATGGCTTGATAGCTATATGATTTATAGGGAATAGACTCCAGTCTTCCCTTAACAGAATTGAGAATCCTTTCACAGCATGGGTGTAAATGATGTTGATTTACTAAGTGCCACAAATTGTGATGTGACTACGTAAAGCACCTTTAGTGTTTTTAGGTGCTAGAAATAAAGTCAAAATAAAGGGTAGCATACTGTTCTTAGATGTTTATTTATTGATTTTTTTTTTTTTGAAACAGGGTTTCTTTGTGTAGCCCTGGCTGTAAATGTTTAGTTTTTATTAACCAGATTTTTCTTTTTCTTTTGTGTGTGGTTGGCTCTCAGTACATAGTCCATGCTGGCCTGACTCTTGAGATTCTCCTGCTTCAGCTTCCCAGGTCTGGGGTTACAGGCGTGTGCCACCATACCAGCTTCTGGAGCTTTGCTTATTTATTTATTTTTTCTTTTGAGACAGGGTCTCACTACAGAGTAGCTTTGGCTGGCCTGAAACTAGCTAATTAGACCAGGATAGCTTCAAACTCCTAGAGATTTGCCTACCTCTGCCTCTGTCTCTACTGGGTAAAAGTGTGAGCCCCCAAACCTAGCCTGGAGTTACTTGTAAAGTAGTAAATACTTGTAAGAAACTATAAATGACAGACTTACATAAAAGGTACTTTGCATATTCTAATCAATGCTGGAACTAAGGAAATAATTCAGTTTCTAAAATTAGATCTATTTTAAGTGTTGAATGGAAATTGTTTACCACCAAATTCTCTGTAGAATAAAGTAGTTTGCTTGGTGGCTGCTGCTGCTGAGCTACGTTTTCTCCCTCTGTGGTCTCAGGATGCTTCTGTTCCATGCTGTCTGTAGGCAAATGAGAACAATCTCCTCTTGATCATCTCTGAAGTAACAGTTGTTTCCTTCAAGTGAATATACCCTGCTTTGTGCAGTTAGGTATATGCGTACAAGTTCGTGGACTTCACTAAATTATTGAAAATACTGGGTAAAGCGGCTATTAGTGGTAAAATATTGCCACTAATCTTTAATAATACAGCACGTTTTAGTGCATAGAATACAGTTTCTAGTTTCTGTTGTGTACATTTAGATTTTCATGTGATTAATGTTTCCTTAAATTGAAGTGTATGTGTCTTAAATCAGTGACAGGTTTCAAAGAGCTGAGCGGAGCTCGAGGTTCTGCTTGTCCCCTGCTGTCGCTTGCTGGACTCAGTAGTGTGTGAAATGGTTTTGGTGTACGTTTTTAGAGGTGTCTTTTTTTTTTTTTAAATCTTGTAGAAATAGTTTGAGCGTTAGATTTGAGGGGATATGTGTATGTGGTCAAATTGTTTCCCTAATTTTGACAAACCCTGGTTCTGAGTTTATAATTGGAGTTAGAAATCAACAACTTTAGATTAAATATCAGTTGAACTTGATAGCCCACTGTATACTCTTACTGATGTGTGGCATTGGTGCAGTGGTCAGCTCTGCCCCTCCCCCTTTACTTCCATCCCAATTTATATGTCCCTTTTGTTTAACAGAATAGGAAAGTATCACTGTTTTTTTTTGTAAACCATTACTGGTCAGTAAGCCTCATTTATCCCACCCAGATGCGTGTTTCTTGGTAAAGTCGTCTGTGAGGTTTTAATGGTAGGAAGGGATGTATGTTTGAAGTGTTCCTGGAGAGGCAAATCGCTTTGTTTCTAATGACAAAGATCTGTATTGTCAGTTACTGCTTTTCCTTGATTAACTCAAGGTATTATTTGCTATTTAGGATGCATTAGAGATCTTGTCTTTAAGCAAGTATCCTTTAATGCCTTAAAGTAAGAAAAATGGTATTTTTCAATTTTAAGTTTTAAAAATTGACTTTTTTCTCCATTAAAGTTTCAAAGGTCATAGCTTTTTTTTTTTTTCCTTTCAAAATTGTATAACCTTTTAAGTTTGATTTGGTATGTCTTTTGCTTTAGGAAAGACAACAACATGTGGAAGCTGTTGAGTTAGAGTCCAAAGAACTTCTCAAAAGATTATTTCCAATGGTGTCTGTTCCTTCTAATTTGGTAAGATGACTCTCTGGCTTTTTCACATTTCACCTGACTTATGTAGGAAGTTGTCAGTAGCAGCATTTGATTTCTGAATTTGAGTTGTTAGCGTGTCCCTGCCATTTAACAAGGCAGGTGTGCTTCTGAGTAAGTTGGTCCAAAGCTCTGTACCTGAAACTTTTGTTGTATTCTATCAAATTGAATGGCTTGTAGATATGTTTGGAAAAGAGGTTTTTCTGAATGGTAATAAAACCAATAATAATTTAAGTGATTACTTCTTAGTTTTAACATCAATCCTTTAATGTATTCCATGCTACGCACTAGGGTCTTTTATATTTGAAAACCATGAGTTTCATTTCCTCTTCACCCCAGGGAATGAGGGTGAACGTGGTTCTTGTAGGACAGAAAGATGACCAGCTCAGATAGCAGCGAGTGCTTGAGGACACATACCAGGGAGTGTCCCTTAAACGTTGAGGGAATGCCCTTGAAGTTCCTGAAATGTACAGATAGGCCTTCTTAAATTTTGAACAAAACAAATGTATATATACTCAAAAGTAGGCGGTGGAATAATGATCACAGGACCCATTTTGGGAATCACCATGCGTGCTTATGTTAATATATAAATGGCTTTATACTTCCCATCCCATTAGTTCTCAAACTTCCTAATGCTTCCACCCTTTACTACAGTTCCTCATGCTGTGGTGACCTCCAACCATAAAATTATTTTGTTGCTACTTCGTAACAGTAGTTTTGCTACTGCTGTGAATTGTAATGTAAATATTTTTGGAGATAAAAATTTGGCTGAGGGGTTATGACCCACAGGTTGAGAACCTCTGTATTAGATCACCCAGAAGGAACTCAGACATCAGGGTATTTTATCTGTAAATATTTTAACACATAATCCTAAAGAGATAAGAATTATTTTAGTTTAAATAATACATCTTTAATTACACATATTTAGTCATTCCCCTAATTTCCATATACAGTGCTCATGCCAATTAAATAATGAGGTATTTTATTTTATAATTAGAACCCAAATAAAATCAACAAGTGATTGGTGTTTTCAGTCTGCTAAATCCCTGCAAGTGTGCTGCATCCCATCTGTTTTCCTCCTCTCCCATTTGAAGCCTGGAAGTGTCCTGTTGCAGTTTCTGATAGTTTGGATTTAGCTGACTGCATTCCTAGTGCCGATGTGTTCCCTGTCCTTAGTATAACTCATAAATCAGTACCCATTAGAGGCTTACCTGACTCAGGGTCAGTATTTCAAGGTGGATGGATGGTGGTGGGTACTGAGGTCTATGGTATCTGCTTGTGTGGTTCCCTGGAGCTTCTTCAGGCTGGCTGCGATGGCCTTTGGTAGCGCTTGTGCCTTGTGCTGTAACAAGATGTTCCTGATTTATTGGATACAGTCAAAGCTTCAAGCATGGATCGGCTCCTTCCTCTAGGTGTGGGTGCAGGGACAGAGTGTACTGTATGAGATGTAGAGGGTCAGCTGCTTTTTCTCTTAAGGTTATGGATACAGGCACCTACTGTTAATTCAAGTAAGGAGGGAAGGTTCCTGTTTCCTTTGTAGCTGTGAGGAGGGTACACAGGCTTGAATAGCAGGTGTTACTGCCATCTGAACTGGGAAAATGTCTTATATTAGACAGAGAGATAACCTAGAGGAAGGGTGTTAATACATTCATGTCCTTTTCTTCTGTGGCCATAATCTGGTTTTGTTTCTACTGTATGTTTTATTGGTGGATTTATTTATTTGACAGTATTTATGAGCCAAGAGTGCTGAAGATACCTAGTTTCTGTTCTTCAAAGATTGTAGAAAATTGCCAGTAGTCAGTGTTTTTTCTTTTTCTTTTTTTTTTCTAATTAAAAAAATAAAAGTATTTATGTGCGTTGGTGTTTTGCCTGCATGTATATCTGTATGAGGGTGTCAGGTACCCTGGAACTGGAGTTACAGACAGCTGTGAGCTGCCATGTAGGTGCTGGGAATTGAACCTAGGGCTTCTGGTAGAACATCCAGTTCTCTTAACCACTGAGCCATCTCTTGAGCCCCCAGTTTTTCTTTTAATGTAACAGATCTATTGATTATCTTATTATTACTTGCTCATTTGTTTGGGGATATAGTCTTGCCATGTGGCTCAGGCTGACCTTGAATTCCTGATTCTTCTGCCTCTGAATCCTGGCTTGAGATTACAAGCAAGTGTGTGCCACCATGCCTGGTTAAATTTATTCTTAATGGCATTACTGTTGACCTTCAAAAACTAAATCTTCAAGGCTCTGTAAAAATTTATAGATCACCATAAGACATGACAATATTCTTTGTGTTTTGTTCACATACTTGTTGAATGTTGCATCATGTTGTCTTAAACTTTTCATGTGCTAGTTAAGAGATTAGTATTCTAGATTTTTAAAAGAATTTCTTAATTTAGCCAGGCATGGTGGTGCACACCTTTAATCCCAGCACTAGGGAGGCAGAGGTGGGCCATGCTGGTCTCTGTAACAGACTAGCCAGGACTACGTACAAGAGAAAAAGAGCACAGAGTTAACTCAAGCCTCATTCTTATCAGGATAAATTAACATAACCATCAAACAGGAAGGGGCTTTTGTGCGGAGCTTTTCATTGCTTGCTGTTGCCACTGTGTAAAGCAGATCCAGACAGGAACTTTTCATCGGTTTTAATTATGTTGGATTCCGGTATTTGAGCCTAGAGTAGTCTAGTAGTGGGCAGAGATGTGGTTTGCGTTTGTGTTGTGAGGATGCTGTTCTTTTTAAATGGATAGAGGCTTTGAACACTAGCACGACATTGAACTCCGTGCCGTGAGGTGACTCAGCATCACTCACTCTTCTCATGCGGTACTTGTAAGATATCCTGATCCAGCTACATAAGCTTTACATTATAGAGTTAGTAAACATTTATCCACTTTCTTTATCAATTAAACTAAACCAAAAGTGTAAGAAGAAACTTGATTTTAAAATATTAGACACTTGTTACCACAGTTTAAAGTTCTATTAAGAAGCTTCAAAAATCTGTAATTTATTCTAAAGTTCCAGATAATGGCTAAAGCATGTATTGTTTTCTTTACTTGACCTGTAAACAGAAACCAGTTTTGTGTTGGAGTTAAATAAATATGTGCATATCATCCCCTATTATGATTTAAAATGTGCTTATAATACATGTTTTGTCTTTTAATTTGAAGTATTTTCAGGAACTTTGGAGTACCTTCAAAGAATTTGAAATCCTCTGAACAGAACCCCCTCAGTTAGTCTTTGAATGTTTGAATTCTACTTCATTTTAAGAATTGTTTTACCTGGAAAGGTTTTTGAAAAAGCTGCTCATCTAGATTTTGAGTTTTTCACAGATTGAGCTTAGTGGCCTGTTACTCATGACTACGTCTCATGGCATTAGAATGTGAAGTTTGAGCTGAGGTCTACTGTCTTGGAGTCCAAAATTCAGTTGCAAATAATTTGATATGAATTAAAAAGTATCTTATTTTGATAGTAATGTGTGTATATTTAATTTTTAATGTACATTAAATTATTTACTTATTTATTGCTGGCCATAGTGCCATTTGTCTTTAATCCCAGTAATTGGGAGGCAGAGGCAGGAGGATTTCTTTTAGTTCAAGGCCAGGCTACATAGTGAAGCCTTGTCTCAGTTTTTTTTTTGATTTTTTATTTTATTTTATTTTATTTTATTTTATTTTATTTTATTTTATTTTATTTTATTTTAAATGATAGTCTCCCTATATAGCCTAGGGTGGGTAGCCTGAAACTCACATTCAAAACCAGGTTGGCCTTGAACTCAGTATCTTTCTGTTCATGCTTCCTAGGCTGTGTAGCTATAGGCAGGTAGCATCACTTGGCTTTTAGTGTTTTTTTTATTTTTTATTTGTTTGTTTTTTAAAACTGGATTATGTTCAGTCTGTGAAAGTTATATCTTCCTCTGAAATTCTGAAAGTATAATGACAATGTATGTAGGGTTTTTTGTTTTGTTTTGTTGTTGTTTTATATTATCTGATTTGGTGCTTTTAAATGTTTGATTATTTCTTTTACTAATCAGACTTATAAAAAATCTGTGCCTTGGACTTTTCTCCTCTACAGACTTACACTGAATGGTTACGTGGCTTTGAAAAGAAGGCAAAAGCATGTGTAGCTGGAGCTTCGGATGCAGAGACAGTCAAGGTTAGTTCAGGAAATGAACTATGTATTTAAGCAAACTGTGAGGTGGAGCAAATCAGAACTTGTTCTCAGGAACATTGGCTGATAAAAGGATGTATTATTAGTTGGGTAGTGAAAAGAATATGGTGCCTGCATTTTTAAAACCAAATGTTTAATTTAGTTACTCTCATCTCTTTATAGCTTAAGTTTTCAAAGTAAAGCTCAGCTAAGATTTGTAGCTGGTCTCTCTGGCTTGCTGAAGCACCCCCAGACAATTTCAGCAGCACTCTGGAACTAGCTTCCTTCTTACCCTTGACCACCAAGAGTGTGCAGACCCATGATTGTTCTGAATCCTAGGCGGCAGGAATAAAATCTTCCTTCCTTCTGTGTGGCGTAAGCATTGTAACGTGTATTTATGGGCCTCCTTAGATGTTACCTCGTGTATAAAGAGTAACATCCTTGCTGTAAATGTGTGATGGACTTAAAAGAGTGTCACAAATGGACACCATGTGACCAAAAGGCCATCGGACTGCATTGCTGCTTAGGAAGGTTGCGATGTAATATTCCGTCCTAAGTCATTTCTGTCTGTTTATTATGTCACTCGAGGTTGAACTAATAGAAACTGCAACCCTCCTCTTTGTCATTTTGTCACCACAGGTTTTGGAACACAGATTGAAAGAGGCTGACGAGATGCACACACTGCTACAGCTAGAGTGTGAAAAATACAAAGCCGTCCTTGCAGAAACAGTAGGGAATGACTGAGTTTACATTTCGGTTTTTTTTTTTTTTTAAATCATTGACTTATTTCTTCCTGGCCTAAGTGATTTTATCTTGACATCAGAATACAGATTTTTCAGAATAGTTCTGCCTTTGCCTCTAGGAAGGGATTTTACAGAAGCTGCAGCGCAGTGTGGAACAAGAAGAAAGTAAATGGAAGATTAAAGCTGACGAGTCACGAAGGACTATTAAGCAGGTATTTAAGGAAGTGCTTAGAGCAGCTGTACTGAGCATGTGGATCCCCTCTAGTGCCGTCTGGGGTACACCATTGATACATCACCTGAGTCTTACACGTGTGCAGGGGTAGTGGATTGTGTGAAGGAACCCTGGGTGATTCTGATGTTCACCCATTTGAAAACCACCCATCGGA